CTGTGAGGACACCTGCTGGACAGGTGTGAATCACTGTGAGGACTACTGCTGGACAGGTGTGAATCATGGCGAGGACCCCTGCTGGACAGGTGTGAATTACTGTGAGGACTACTGCTGGACAGGTGTGAATCACTGTGAGGACCCCTGCTGGACAGGTGTGAATCACTGTGAGGACCCCTGCTGGACAGTCCTTAGGATCAGATGAAGGCCAAGTGGTTGTTACCATGACGACCTTCCTACAAAGTGAGGCTTGTTGTGTTGGAATCTATTTTCTCTGGGACTCATCGTATTGATTATAGGTTTGTTTTGTTGCAGGTTTGGTGATTCGTCCTCATGCAGCTGAGATCTCATTCAACCGCAGCGACCCAACAATTTACAACCAATACATCCAACAACTGCACGAGCTCCTGCAGCGTAAGTACAAGCTCGTGTTATGCTTCACTTCCTTTTTTGACTTCAGGAAAATATGACCTTCACAATAAAAGTCCTGTTTTGCAGGGTCGTCACTGATCATCATGATGTTGTCTTGTCAGGTTATAACGACAGCATTCAGAAGCGTCACGACTTGTGTCTGGTGGGTGAATATACTGAACAGGACAACGAGCCAATAAAGAAAGTTTGTCAGTTTAAACGTAGCACGCTGGGTCAGTGCTCTGGTCTGTTCGACACCAGCTTCGGATACGCTGACGGGGAACCCTGTGTCATCATCAAGATGAACCGGGTCAGAATAACAAATTATTTTATTCTTTTAAGTTGTTTAGTTGTGATGGAAAATGTTGAAGTGGAGGTGAAGAACATTATTTAGATTTTGACCAGTTACCAGCATGTTGACATAACTGGATCAGTCAAATCTTTTTTTAACATGAATTCCGTTTAGATGACAAAACAGCAGCGTGTTTATCTGCAGGTCATTGGACTGAGGCCACAAGGAGATCCCTTCATCACCTGCACTGCAAAGGTAAGGCTGTCCCATAATGCACCTGTGCAGCTCATTGATCACCAAACATTAAAGGAGAAGTTCGGTCATATGGTATGTGTGTGGATCTAAAAGTGTCCGAAGGACTCCAAGTTACTCCAAACCTTTATGGGTGAGTAGATCTACATACCATATGCTGGAAATAAGGACCAGAGCAGAGGTCTCTGAACCGTAATCCCTGTGTTCATATACATATAATAATTATATAGTGATTATAGTAATGTAGTGATACACATTATTTTAATCATCATTATTACAATGATATATTTCCCTCTCTCTCTGTGTGTGTGTTGTAGAGAGACCGTCCGTTACAGATTCAGTATTTTCCATCTGAAGGTCATCTGGATAAAATGTTTTTCCCATATTACGGCAAGAACGCACACGTGAGTGAAGTTATTATAATTATTATTGTTGTTGTTTTTCCATATTAACTCTCTCTCCCTCTCTCTCTCTCTCACTCTCTCTCTCTCTCTCAGCCTGACTATGTGCAGCCTCTCGTGGCTGTCAAATTGTTCTTCACAAAAGACGACTTCAACGTCGAGCAGACAGTGGAGTGTAAAGTCCAGGGTTCAGACCTGCGTAACGATGATGATCGTGACAAGTTTCAGGGTCGTGTCACTTTCCGGGTCAAAGTGTTAGAGTAAACCGGCCTGTCTGTTTCCATGGAGACCACAAACTAGGTTTACGCTGGAAAAGAAGGGCTTGTTTTAATCCAGACCTGATTTTTTCGTGATTCATCCTGTTGTGAGTCTGATGAGAGGAACACAGATGCTGTTTCAGACCTGATCCTGGCTTTGTCCAGTCAGTGTCCAGACCTGCTACTGCATCAACGAGGGGAGAAACCAGAGTGAGTCTGGTTCACTCTGCTCAGACAGATGGAGCAAATCAGGTCTGATAAGACACAAGAACTTAATGTGATGCCACATTACAAAGAATCTTCACCACAAAACTGTGACTTTACACTAAGACGCTAAGATCACAGTGACATCAGAGTGACATCACACTAAGATCACAGTGACATCACGCTCACATCATAGTGACATCACACAAAATCACAGTGACATCACAATGACATCACACTGACAGCATAGTGACATCGCACTAAGATCACAGTGACATCACGCTGACATCACATAAAAATCACAGGGACATCACAATGACATCACAGTGACATCAGAGTGAGAATAACACTAAAATCATAGTGGCATCACAATGACATCACAGTGACATCACGGTGACATTACTCTGACACACTGACATCATAATTTTATTA